GAAGAAGAAGAAGAAGAAGAAGAAGAAGAAGAAGAAGAAGAAGAAGAAGAAGAAGAAGAAGAAGAAGAAGGATGTCATTGTAAAAAATGAGTTACTGGGGGAAAGGCCATGATGTTTCATGGCCCTGTCACATTTCTTTTTTCTGATTTGTGATTTCTAGTGCAAAGTAGCAGGCTGGTCATTCCCCACTAACATCCGTCAACTATAAGCCAACATAAACCTTTCCTCCTTAAATTTCTTCTTGGCAGGTATTTGTTTACAACAAAAACAATGTAAATATATCATGTGTAATATTGTCATTACAGGTGAACTGGGTAGAATTTAGGAAATCTAGGAAGATGTGCACATCACTCACCAGAGTACAGATTGGTATCGTTCTGTAGTTCTATCTAAACTTCAGATGGGAAACTTAACAAATAAATGGACTGATCTAATAGGATTAGATGAGACGTTCACTTTCCTGTTATTCAATTTTCTATACCAATTATTTGATCAGTTATCACAAGTATTTGGGAAAAGTTAAAAAAGACAATAAACTATAAAATAATAAAGGCATCCTGAACAAGCTCAATGACCATTAACCATTATTAAGGGTATATTTCTGATTGACTGTTTTTATTTTAAGAGAGGCTAGACTATTTATATGGATTAAAATGGAAAGCAGACAAGGACTTCATGAGTATCTCAGTGGAGCAGCACTTGCAAATACAAGCTCCAACTTTGATCCAAAGCACAAATAAAGAATGACAAAGAGTATGACCAATTATGAACATGATCATTAGAAAATGTGCAAGGCTGAAATGCAGTACAGTGTTTAGTTTAGTCTTTTCTGTGATAATTTTTAATTATGAATTTCACATAATATGCTCTGTAAAAACTGCAAATGTAAAACTTCTGTAATTTGCAAAAAAAATCCCTTTAAGATAGTTGAATGTAGTATCAATGATAGTGGAATGTTGTATCAATAATGGTTTAAATAACATATTTTATGAAGACAATTTTCTATGTGTTATGTACTCATGATAGTGAGATTGTCATACAAGAGGAAAATATACATTGCTACACTGAATATTGTAAAATTTAATGTTAAATATCTCATTGAAGCAGAAAGGGAGTGGATCTGCAAGAGAGGGACATGGAGAATGACTAGAAGAAATAGAGGGAGAACAAACTATAATCTGAAGAGATTATGTGAGAAGAAAATATATTTTCAACATAAGTGGGGAAAATGTTATCCTAGCTAAGGTGTGGTAGCATTCACTTGTAACCTCAGGACTTGAAAATTGGAGGCAGAAGGATTATGAGTTTAGGGTTTTCTCTCCCACCAGACACTTCTGGGCCAGCCTGGACTGTATTTCATCCTATGTAAAAAGAATTCTCATTGACAAATATTTTCAAGTTATATATACTGAATGAGATTTTTAAAAGGCAACATTCTCATAAACTGAATGGCATCTAGGTGCATTGATATATAAATATAGTGTCTACAAAGATAAAGTTCCTCTATTGTGAACTTTCTGTAGTTATTCATGCATATTTTATGACATAATTATAAGAATTATTTAATATGAAATCCTTTGTAATAGTCTCTTAACTGCACATATTGTATTTATTGTTTTTTATTTATCTTTCAGAATTTCATTCAATGTATTTTGGACTCAGGACATGGTAGGGGAAGAAATGGGGCATAAATATGAGGAGTCCATATCATGAGAAATATCAAATGAGATGAAGTTGTTCATATCATGGATGGAATTTTTACATTAAAGTTGTGAAAAAAATCATGTTTCAAAAACTCATAATGATGTATCTGTAAGCTGAGTAACAGCATATTATTACATATATACAAATCAAGGGCTTGTGTATAAATCTGTCAAATATTTGAAATATATCACATTTATTCTATTCTTTACAGAAGGTTAAAGGATTTACTTTTAGAATTTTAAAATAAATTGGAATTTTCCCAATTTAAAAAATGGAACTTATACATGACACTGCTAAAATGTCCAAAAAATGTGAGATTGAGTAAGTCATGGGACCTTGGAGAAGCCTGCAATCTTATCCAATATAACAATAAAATGACTCTTCAGACAAATTCCTATAAATCAATATCTCAATATCTCAATCCTGATCATAAAAACTTTGTATTAGTTAGGTTTTTGTTACTGTTAAGAAAATGATGACTATGTCAACTATTATAAAAAAACATTAAATGGGATGACCTACAGTATAGAGGTTTGGTCCATTATCATCATACTGGGACATGGTGATCCGTAGAAAAACATGGTGTTGGAGAATTAGTCAAATATCCAACATCTAGAATTGCAGGCCACAGAAGGTAAAGCAGGTGTCACATTGAGTGAAGCTAAAACAAAGGAGACCTTAAAGCCCCCCCCCATAGTGACACACTTCTTCTAATAAGACCACACCTAATATAGTAAAATCTTAACTCCTAATACTGCCACTCACTTTGGGGACATTTTCTTTCAAGCTACAACATTCCACTCCTTAGCTCACAAAGGCTTACAGCCATATCATAATGGAAAAACATATTCAGTCCAACTTCAGAAGTCCCCAAAGTCGAACAAATGCTTTTGTAGTATGATTGGGCATCTCTTGGGTATATTCCCAAGAGGGGAATGGCTGGGTCCTGAGGTAAGCTGACTCCCAGTTTCCTGAGAAACTGTCACATTGATTTCCAAAGTGACTGCACAAGTTTGCATTCCCACCAGCAATGAATGAGTGTTCCCCTTACTCCACATCCTCTCCAGCATTGGCTATCATTTTTGATAGATGATGTTTTTGATTTTAGCTATTCTGACAGGTGTCTTAAAGTTGTTTTGATTTGCATGTCCCTGATCGCTAAGGAGGTTGAGTATGACCTTAAGTGTCTTTTGGCCAGTTGAACTTCTTCTGTTGAGAATTCTCTGTTCAGTTCAGTACCCCATTTTTTAATTGAGTTAATTAGAGTTTTAATGTCTAGTTTCTTGAGTTCTTTATATATTTTGGAGATAAGACCTTTGTCTGATGTGGGGTTGGTGAAGATCTTCTCCCAATCAGTAGGTTGCCTTTTTGGCTTAATGACAGTGTCCTTTGTTTTTCAGAAGCTTCTCAGTTTCAGGAGGTCCCATTTATTCATTGTTTCTCTTACTGTCTGTACTACTGGGGTTCTACTTAGGAAGTGGTCTCCTGTGCCCATTTGTTGTAGACTACATCCCACTTTCTCTTCTATCAGGTTCAGTGTGGTCATATTAATATTGAGGTCTTTAATCCATTTGGACTTGACTTTTGTGCATGGTGATAGATATGGATCTACTTTCATTCTTCTGCAGGTTGACATCCAGTTATGCCAGCACCATTTGTTAAAAATTCTTTCTTTCTTCCATTGTATAATTTTAGCTCCTTTGTTGAAAATCAGGTGTGACCTTGGTCTGTTTGGATGCTCACCTTCCTAGACCTGGAAGGAGGGGGAGGACCTAGGACTTCTCACAGGGCAGGGAACCCTGACTGATCTTAGGACTGGAGAGGAAGAGGGAGTAGGAGGAGTAGGAGGGAGATAGGAGGAGGGGAGGAAGTGGAAATTTTTAATTAATAAATAAAAAAGTTCCCAAAATTCCACTCCTAGCCAACAAGCTATTTTTAATTGATTCTTGCTAAACAAGGGAAAACTAGCTCTGTCCAAGAGAATGTCACTAAGTATATCCACCATACTCCAGAGCAGGACCCATACCCAGGA